TGTGTGTGTGGGTGTGTGTGTGTGTGTATTTTCTCCCCAAACAGACTGGCTCCTCAGAGGCAATCTCTTCTCTCTCCTCTCAATCTAGTAAGAAAGGTCAGAGGAGGAAGCTGGCCATGTAAATTAGTAGTGCCTGGTTAATTGAAAGTGAAAGCTTGGTTTTGGAAACAGACTGAGGTCACACAGCCTAAAGTAACCAGCTAGACTGTGAGGAAAAGCAGGGTCTCCTCAGAGCAAGGCAGGGTCTGTGATCATGCCTGGTACATGGCAGGTCCTCACATGTGTTCATCTAGTGGTGTTAGCTGTCCCAGGAACAGCACACCTCGTGTGTCAGGCCCTGTTGCCAGGGCTCACACTAATCCTGGAGACCCCTGAGGGATGCAGGGAAATGGCTGGCAAGGCACGCCATGTCGGCCATACAGTTCCATGACTGATGCAGGACTGCGGGTTGTTCTGGAACATGCTGTAGAATTCAAGACTGCCCACATGCCATGGGACCCTGGCTCCTCTGTTCACGTGAACCAGCCCTCTAGCTGGTTTCTGAAGTTCTCAGAAGCTCTCGAGGTTGCAATCCTCCAACTCTTTCATCTCTGCTTCTAGGCTTTTCTATGGCAGCTTGGTGGAGACTTTTAAAACAGCCTCTACCACCACAGCCAGGTGCCTCCTCTGGCCATTCCCTAGTCACACTGTCCCTTGGCTTCCCTGCAGGTTTGCCAAGCTGCTGCTGCGCCTCCCAGCTCTGCGCTCCATCGGCTTAAAGTGCCTGGAGCACCTCTTCTTCTTCAAGCTCATCGGGGACACGCCCATTGACACCTTCCTCATGGAGATGTTGGAGACCCCACTGCAGATCACCTGAAGATCCTCAGCTGCAGCTCCCCCCACCCCCAGGGTGACCGACCCATAGGCTGATGTGTATGGAGCCCTACCCTGCACAGTGTCCCCCGCCTCCCACTCTGACCTCCCTTCCTGTCCCCAAAATGTGATGCTTGTAATAAAGACAATGTTTTTACACATGCGACTTTTCTAGGTGGAGTTTTGTATGGATGTTAAAGGTGACCCTTCGTCGCTATCTAAGGGGCTGAGGTCTTTCTGGAAGTTCTTGGGAAGAGCAACCAAGCCTCTGTACATATAATTGGTTTAAATTATTTTTTCACTTGCCATGGAAAGCAAACAAATGGAACAGAAAATAATAAATATGATATTGGCACTGCTTGGAGTATGTGGTGTGTTATTGTGCAGCTGGGCGGCTCTCTGGGTTGTGGAGGATGGGGCCTGGATGTAGGTTAGCACTGGCTCTGTGGTCCAGGGCAGGGGTTAGGAGCTGAGTTGGACTGAAGACACAGCTGGAGTTGCTGCTGGGAAGAAGAAGAAGGCATCCTTTAGAGACAGCTTGGCTCTCCCCTTCCCTCTCTTCCTCCTCCTTTTTCTTCTCCTCTTTTAGCCCTTCTCAAGCCTGTATTCACAGATATGGAAAAAGAAATGGAGACTACGGGGAAAGTGCTAGGGTTTCACTTCTGCCCTTGGGGGAGGGGGGCAAACAAAGAGGTTTATCCCAAGTAGAATGAGAGAACACAAAGACTCGCTCAGTCAGTGCCTGCCTATGTAAGAGGAGGCTGGGATTTGAGCTTCCTGTCTAGTTATCGACTAAGCTCCAACCCATGACCACAGCAGACAGCAAGATATGCTTGAGAGGGGTTGGACTATTATAAGCATAGAGATGGATGCCTTTCTTGAAGCCTCTAAAGACAGGGCTCCGTCTCGAATTTGTCCTTGGGGTTAGGAAAGAGGGAAGCATTGTGCATGTCACCAATCTATGTCGAGCAACTATTGTCTAACCTGTGTGATACAGAGGTCTTTGGGATTCCTGAACAAATTATCACCTGCTCATGCACTTAAACCTGTTTAAGTTGTCATCCCTTTTGTGATGGTCGGTGTGAACGGCCAACTTAACACATCTAGAATCCCCTGGGAAGAGTCTCAGTATTTACTGCCTGTGGGGAAGATTGTCTTGATTATGTTCATTGATGTGGGAAGCCCCAGACAACTGTGGGCGGTATCATTCCATGGGGTTGGGTCCTGAAGGGTAAGAATAGAGAAGGTGAGCTGAGGAGTAGACACACATGCATTTATCCTCTCTGCCATGTGACCAGCTGCTTCAAGTTCCTGTCGTGATTTCCCCACAACGATGGACTACAACCTAAACTGTAGTCAAATAAACCTTTCTCCTTTAAAGTTGCTCTCCTCAGCGCATTTTACCACCACAGCAGGAAATGAATGTAGGTCACTTCCTCAAACACTCAATTCTCCGGTGGACAGAGGAAAGGAAGATCCAAAAGAAAAACGATGGTAATGAGAGTGGAGAAAGATCAGTAGAATGGACCACTAACTTGGATGAGACTGGACACTCCAGCGAATTATATGAACTATTTTGAGCATCACCTTAGGTGCTGTCAACAGGCAAGACGAAGGAGCATAATAGAGCTTGTCCGAAGGGTGAAGTAGAAAAAATAAAATCTTTTCCAATTCAGTCTTTGTGTAGGAGGCACAATGTACAGAAAGAACTAAAAAAGCCAGAGTTGTAAAATGTGCAGGTTTTGTCCTTCAAGGAAAGAAAATAGCTAATGCCTGTTCACCCTGAAGGCTGGAGTGGATGTTGTCTAACAACCTGGTGATCCTTTGCTATTCCATGGAGCCAGTGTCCCCCCAAATTCTGAGCATTGTTTAGGTCCTAATCCTGAGCTTTACCTCCTTGTGAATACAACCCACCCTTATGAAAGGCCCCATGTACTTTGCATCCTCAATTACTGGAACCCATCTTTATGCTTACTACAAACCCTTGCTCAGTAGGTCCTTACCCTGAGCATTATGTCTCTGTGAACAAGAACCCATTCTTACCGGAAAGGTCACAGGTGCTCTGCTAAGGGGATGTACTTTGCAAGAGAGTTTCTATGTAGCCATGCCTAAAGCATTGTGATAATTGTCACATGGAAACCTTTCCCCAAAGTTTTACTGTGTTTAAATATGTAGGGGAAATTAACAGCTTGGTCAGATTCTAGAAGTTTTTGACCTAGCACCTGTTAAATTGGTGCTGACCCCAGTTTCATTCTTCACCTTGCAAGACATTTGCAGGAACCCCAACACTCCATTGAGTACTTTGGATGCCTCACAATACCAGTTGCTCTAGTAAATACAAGGGTCTCAGGCAGGCAGCCACCACCTTGGCTTGGCCTTCTTAGGGCATCCACACCTTTAACCTCAGTAACACCATTTGCACTCCACACTTGAGGGAGCCCAGATGGCCAGTCTGAGCTCTTCTGTCCAGAACACCAGCTCAGTGACTTAGCTTGGCCTCTGAGATAAGGCCAAAGGCAATCAAAATGTTCATTGATCTCTGTCTCCTCCTCTTTGTTTTTCAATACAGGGTTAGTCTGTGTAGCCTGGCTGTCCTAGAATTCACTCTGTAGACCAGGCTGGCCTTGAACTTAGAGATCCACCTGCCTTTGTCTCCTAAGTGCTGGAATTAAAGGCCTGTGCCACCACCACTTGGCTAGTTTTCTCCTTCACACACCCACAGCACACTTATTCCAACCACGTGAGCTCCTCCACCAATCAGCTGCTGCCTGTGTGTTTGCCTTTCTTCCCTGTCTGGCATGACTCCTTTTTCAGTGGCTCCTGTTCCAGCCCTACTCGTCCTCTGAGGCCATCTGTCACCATATCTTTATACAACCATTCCTGATCTCTCTACCTCTGTAGTTTTACACATTATTCTGTGTCTCCATTTGAACACACTTCATACTGTGTATAGTGCATTAAGTGTATTCTATTAACTTTGCTTGTAAACTCCTCCATCACAGAGCATGTCTGATTGAACTGTTTCCACAACAACTTGGAGCCAAGCACCCAGTTCAAAGTTGGCATTCAATAATTTCCCTCACAGTTGGTACCTCTGATTTCATTCTTAATAGAAATCATTCCATTGCAAAAGAAGCAGTCCCATTGCCAGGCCGAAACTTTTCAGGGGCATGCTGGGCAGTGACCGAATAAATTCAGGCAGGTTCTTTGCCATAAAGGAATTCACACATGGGGCAGGCAGAAAACATTAAGACCAAAGCTAATAAAAAAATTACATATCTAGGTTTGAAATGGTAGGAGATGGCTTGGTGGATAAAGTGTTGGTAGCACAAATATGAAGACCTGATTTTGATATCTAGCACTCACATGGAAGCCTGACTAGCCAGGGTGCATCTGGACCCCAGCATGGTGAGGGGTGACTGTGAGGAGCAGATGAAGTCCTGACTGGATGTGTATTGTTGCCATGACCTCAGTCCTGTCAAGGACTCCAATATCTCAGGCTCATGGGAACTGCAAAGCTCTCCCCATGTCAGGCTCAGGGAGGTGGCTGAGCCTCTTCTGGTTCCAGTGTGAACATTGGCAATATGTGTGGGAATGGTCTCTGGGGTTAATGCAGCCTGAGACTGCTCCCCTACAGTGACCTCCTACCATGACCTCCTACCAAGATTAGCTGAACCTTCCTCCTTGTTCAGCTGGATACCATGAACCCACCTTTTTGTTCAGCTGTATACAAACCAGCTTCTTGATTCAGATGTATAAAATAAACATGTCGAGTTTCTGGGGGTGCTGCTGTTACTGTTTCTCTGTCAGAGTGAGCACAGCCCACCAGATCCCAGCTTTTCTACATGTGTGACTGTGTGTCTGTCCATTCTTCATCCTCTTGTAGCCCTAGTTAGATAAATCCCTGAGGTAGGGCAGAATGTGACAGTGGACCCCAGGTGCTCACAGGCCAGCCAGCATAGACCAGGTTCAGCAAGAGACCCTTTCTTTTGGGGGCAGGGATAACGAGAGAAACAGAGACACACACAGGGTCAGAGTCAGAGAGAGAGGGGGAGATAAAGACAGACAGACAGAGAGAGAGAGAGAGAGAGAGAGAGAGAGAGAGAGAGAGAGAGAGAGGTAAAGAGGGTTAGAGGAGGATACCTCTGGGTTTCACATATCACACATGGGAAAGTGCACCCACACATACTCATTCACATACCACACACACAGAGACACACAGAGAGGTAGACAGACAGACAGACAGACAGACAGACAGACAGACAGACAGACACACACACACACACACACCACCCCAACCCTTAAAAGAAAGAATGATTTGTCTATAGCACTTAAGTTTACAATACACACAAGAACCTGGGATTACAATCTGGCCTTGGAGATGAAGGCAGGGAACCATGATTATATAGTTCTTAAAAAAAAAGATTCGAAAATTTAAAATGTTTAAAAAATATATGTACTTATGAGACATCTATTTATTTGAAATATGAAGACACAAAGATTCCCGAGGTCAGTGTTGGTTCCAGGACACACACACACATGGTCCTCAGGGCAAGGGGCGTGGCTACTCCCACTGCAGAGGCCGATCTCCAAGACCTCTATTCTATGACTGAGAAGGCTCTGCAGACTGAAGTTCTAGGAACTGCATCGAGTACATACACCATGAAAACGAATGCGGAACTTGGACAAACCAACAGTTAGCCCACATATTCAGGTCTCCAGCTCAGGGGCGTTTTTTTTTTGGTTAGTTTTCTTCTAGACTTATGTCTTTAAAACCAGTCTAGAGGCCACCTAAGAAAAGTGGTTGCAGGACACTATACTATAAACTCATCCTATAACCACCATAACCCCACGCGACCCAGATTCTCGTAGCATCTCCATCTACCCAGCCTCCCCTAGCACCACGCTGGCTCTTCCATATTCCTAGCTTTCTTTCCTACAATATTTAATACATTTGGGGTGGAGTGGGACTTGACAGTTTCCAAGCATCAGATCGTTTCTTTG